TTCCATAAGGAAAATAATAATTATTTTTTATTTTTTTTAATGTATCTTGCAGCAATAAAATTAGTACGTCTGTCCGTTTGATGATTTTGGAATGTTCTATTCTTATATACTCATATGATTAGACTTTAGCCTGGCTCAGGCAGTACAGTAGTAGTACTGTATAGTACTACGGAAAGTTATTTTAGAGTGGAGCCTACAGTATGCGCTTTTCATTGACTCTTGCATAGTGTTAAATATCTTCTGAAAGTAAAATTGCCAAGTCATGGCTCTTTCATAACCAGCACTCGTAAGCAAATACCTCTGGGGATTATCAATGGGCCACTGAACTTTTTAAAGCTATGGTTTTGTTGACTAAGGTCAAGGGGCAGGTAGGAGCATTTTATTTCCTTGAATATCTTCCTTTGAAGGATCTCATTTTCAGAAAGTACATATATAGAAAGAGTCCCTTTAGCAGCCAAATAACTTTATTAAGGAAAGGAAAACAATGTCTTGGCTATACAAGCAGGTGCCTGGAATGCAAATGTTTAAGCTTCTCCAAAATGTGGAACACGATAGCGTCAATCAGAACAAGCTCTGCATTTTTATTTTATTTATTAAACTTATACGGCTGCCCATCTCACAAATGTGACAATGTCATACAAAACAATCATGAAATCAATTTTAAAAACATTCAAAGGACAAGTACAAAAATTAATACTAGTATAAAAAGTTAAGACAGAACAGGTTATAAAACAATGCCAACTAATCAAATTACCATTTCCTAGCAATTCCTAGGCTTTTTTTTTAACATAACCAGTTCCAGAAGGGTGGTAAAGATCTCATGTCAAAGGGGATGATATTCCAAAGGGCAGGTGCCATGGCAGAAAAGGACCCGTGTCCTGGGTCCCGTGAAATGGAACTTCTTCACAGTTGGAACCTGCAACATACCACTTCTTCCAATTCCAATATGCTTGGAAAGTGTAATTAGGTAGAAGTAATCCCTTAAATCAGTGGTCTCCAACCTTGGCAACTTTAAGACCTGTTGGACTTCAACTCTCAGAGTTCCTCAGCCAGCTT